GTTTAGCATAGGGTAAGTCGTCCTAATTAACTAGGCTGTTAATTAGGCGTGTATGGTTAGACATAATTTGGCCGTCTAACTAAGCACAAGTGGATTCGTAGGTAGCGTGGGTACCCAATGAGCACTCGTGGATGGCTGGTACAAGTGCCCACTGGTGTTAGTATGTATAGTTTGTAGATGCTAAACTAAATTACTTTGTCTTACTCTAGCTTTGCTTAAGTATTAATAAGAAATAATGTATTTTTAATCTCTAGAGGCTGCATCACTAAATTAGTCTCATAAATTAAGAATGGGAAAGGATATATGACAACATTAAGGTATAGGCATTGGCATCTCATGCTACCTCTACCTTCCTACTTTCCTTTTTCAGATACGGGAATTAGCCAACTTTTCTGATTTCCCATAATATATATTATAATTAATTTAGCTTTGTAATTAATCCGTTTATTAGATCTAGTGTTTGTTCTACTCATATTGGTTGTGTTTACATTGGGAAATACTTGTAGCCTCGTCCTGGCTACTGAGCTGTAGCCGGACACTAGTCTGGTTAAGAACTTTTGTTTGACCATCCCTAAGTGAACATAGATTAGCCAGGTTGACCCGACCCGGGTCTTCTCCGTGCGGTGACCCGGCGCGCATGTGATGTGTGATGTGGTGTGCTGATATGATGTGGTAGTGATGTGATATGGTAGTGATGTGATGTGGTGATGTAGTGGTGGTGGTGTGTGATCGTGTGTGGTAGTGTTATACCTGAGGGGGGGTTCGGGGGTCATCGCCCCCGCGGCTGGTCCGTGACCAGGCCAGGCCTGGTACACACATTAATTATAATACAGTGGTGTGGAAGGGAGACCACCACTGCCCTTTAGGTTCATGGAAATCAGTCGAATTACGAGGCATCTTTTTAGAACGTCTGAAGTCACTTAGCAGGCTTTGAAAGCTAACAGGGAGGACTGCCTACCGTAAGTACAGACTGTTAACTAGAAGCCTGAAACCGGACTTGGGACCGGGCTCTGGGGCGATGATTCAGGAAACACGAACGGATAATCAACTTGATCATTGTTATAAGAGTTGTGGCTTTATATCGTCATTGATATAGTCATTAGAAACAGAGGCTGTCCAATTTTACAGGAATTCCCAAACCTTCCTGAAATTAAACAAATTTTTTGGAAAAGTATTGCGACATGTGGCAAAAAAAAAAAAAACTTATAACAAAAGACACTATTACACAGCATTTGGCTCTAAGATGAGCTTTGATAAAGCTCACTTTTGAGCGAAACGTCGTGTATTAATAAAGCTTGCTATGCGTGTTTATTCATTACAACATTAATGAACACATTTCTCTCAGACAGCAGAATCACCAGGTGAACACGTCATGTGCTGCCGACACAGCTTACTACTACTACTGACAATAACAAACAGAAGATACATTTCGAGGAAAAATATAGTATTTGGAAGCCTAATTATATATCGCCAATATACACACCTGCTTTCTCTCCTCTCCTTAATATGCAAATCCTCATTATTCCATCTCCTCGTGCTATACCCTCCGACACAGCTAAGATCATTAATATAACCCTTCAGGAAGATTAGGTTAGGTAAGATTCTTCAGGAACAGTACAAGTGTTTCCTGACGCAGGGAGACGGGAGATGCCCAGTTAATATCTTAATGCCTTGCGAAATGAATTTTTAATTCACAGTTTTCAAAATTTATCAGTTACATATAAATAATGAGATTCTGAGATTTAGAAAATAATTATGCATTAGTTTTTTCTAGGACAATTTTAAACACTATACATCGTATATGTGACCTAACAAGATAGGATATATACAAGACGTGTATTTCTCTCAGCATACACACGAGAGGCTTTCTTTAATCCTATTTTAAGAATTAAAGCATTCTTGACTGGGTGAAAAAACGGTTACGTGCAGCCTTAATGACCTTGTACAGTCAATAGACTTCTAAAACCATATTAACCAACCAGTGACACACAGGTTAACGATCCTCGTATAATTGATAGGCTTTAAGCACCATTAACCAACAATATCCTGTGATTTAACTAAACCTAATTTAATAATGCTTCAACATATTTGTACAATATATGTAAATTAAATATTCCACTCGAACATGTATTAATAAATATGAAGTTTATTTTAATGATGCGTTAACACGTTGATAAACACACTACCATATGCAGTTATAACGTTGTGTGCTCACTGCTACGTCATATACAGTGACGTACAGATTTGTGGTGTTTTAACAGCAGAATATATGATATACTTTTACATATATTGTAATGTGATGATTTGTGTTCGTATATAGCATATATGTTCGCATACAGCATATTAACAAAATTATGATATATTCGCTAACATATCAGTTGTCATATTTTAGCTTCCACATAGCGTAATGACGTTCACATTTAACAATTCTGTAATCGTATATAGCATAACATATGCTCGCGTGGAAAGTTCTGGGTAAACAGCAATGTGCGATTAAAAGCCCACTTCCTCTCTCAGAACTTCACCTTAATAAAAAGATACAGTACCTAAATTGGAACAATACACAAATAACCAGCACATAGGAGACTGAAACTTGTGTCTCCTATGTGCTGGTTACTCGTGTATTCACCTTCGAAGCAGCACTAACTAAGACCATTCCAGAGAGAGGACTTGCACCGTGTTGCGTTAAAAATGCGTCATGACCACTCACATACCCGTTCATATACGAAAGCGAGTGTTGGTGTCTGCAGTGCAAAAGACAAAGACGGAGACAGCATTGTTTGTGGTGTAAAGTAAGTCAGACGAAGTATTGTCCATGACACAAACTGGTTAATGGCGTCTAAAGCCTATCGACTACAAGAGGGGTCACATTTAGGCCGCACGTCTCCCGTTCACTACCAGTCAAGAATAATTTAATCTCTAAATTAGGGATGAAAACCTCATTGTATATTACACTCGGGGAGACACCTCTTTATATGTATGTATATGCTGTGATGCGGTACAGTGAGCAATGCAGAAATGTCTTAAGCATACAGGGACTAGAGCAGCATTGTTCGGGGTATACATCAAGACAGCAACAATGTTTGAGGTATAAACAGCCAGAGCAGCATTGGTTTGTGGATATAACTGAGAACAGCAGAATTGTTTGTGTAGCGATCTCGGAGAAAAGGACGCCATAATATTATGCATATATTGCTTTTTATATAATTTTATATTGCTGATTTTTTCGTTAATAGCTAAAAAGAATATTTCCTGCATTATATTATTTGATTTATATTAGCTAGTGTATGTATGTAGGATGTAACAAATGCAGCTCTCATTGTGCTCGTTGCAGGAGAGTTTTGATTGGCTGCAAATTATTTGCCCACTTGTTTCGCAGTTGGTGCTAGGCTCAAGCCGGTTACGATTCATCAGATGTTGAGGAGCCGTAACTCCCGTATTAACTTAGATCGCAGGTCCTGCTTAGTTCTCTCTCGCTGTTCCTTGCAGAGGAAACACTTCCATCTCTGCTGTCTGGGAGAATGCTATTCTCCTCAGCTCGTGTTATTTAGACTGTTTTTGGTAATGTTACCGTTAGTGAGTCGGGACTACTAATCCTAACTCTCTGCAACTCTGTTCATGGAACATTATTTAGACTTACTGACATTTGACGTTTTCAGATGTCGTGTGTCGTGAAACACTATCTCTGGTCCCTAGTTTAATGCTTGATCTACACCTGTTGTGGCATCTACGCACTGTCGTAGCCTGGAAATTGGAATGGATGAACTCTGTTTCAGTAATTAGGGAGCTCATGATCCCCGTCAGGGTCGTTTTTAGTCTCCTTGATTCCTTGCCTGACGTTGTGCTGTTCGCTGCTTCTTTGAGCACTGCTGCCGTTTGGGGCCGATTGGGGTAGCCATAATCAAGCAATCTGATTTGGCCTCGATGATCCAGAGTTAGCTTATCTAGGGACTTGTTGCTGTCAGTACATTGTAAGTCGAGTCGTACCGGAGCATTTCAGAGTAACACACATACTTACACACACCATATTATTACTCTTGTACTTATATCTCATCATAGCAACGTGACCCAGATGGTACATATTAAGTGTATCATTGTCCTCATCGCGCCTCCGAGCCGTGTGACGAGCTGCGCAACGCTCCAGTTTTGAGTTTGTTTTTGCGCAGTTACCTGATTGAGCTGCCCAAGCGTTGGTTGGTGGAAACTTATTTTCTACTCCAACACGCGCTGAATAGCAGAAGAAGATCAACACTGTCTGCAATGAATGCCCGTGGTGCTGTTCACGGGATCCAACATGATTATTGTTACCAGCGATCATTCGCCGATAAACCTATGGTATAGCAAATGAGGAGATAAGTGGTGTCGCAACTCATGGACCGACAAGAATCTTCGTAAAATATGACGTCTGCAGAGCTACGAGGCGGTGGTCAACAAGTATCAGGAACCATCATACCGTTAATACAGCTGTGTCGGTGCAACTCCATGATGTATCTCGACATACACTTGGGTGAAAATCAGGAATGTGCATTTTTGAGGCGATTGATTTTGATATTAGCAGTGAACTGCGTACTTATGGGACGGTTCACGTAGCCACAGCAGGAGATGGGCAACTGACGTCTGCAGTGCGCTGGAAGGTAACATATACTGTTAAAAATGACTTCGACCCCTATCCCTTCATATGTTGTATTGAATGAATTACGGGACACAGTCTTATGTAACGTATGCGGGGCAAACAACGTACGTGTCGGCTATGTGGTCATATGACCACATATCGCGGCGCAGAGTGGGAAACGAAGTGGTACCCGCACAACAGCAACGGCAACAGCACCATGGGCGAGGTAGGCGAAGACGAGAACAGTCTCTTGCTACACCGCCCCAACCAACGGTTGTCATGATTGAGGAGTGGACAAGAAAAAGGAGCTTGAATCACTCAGTTTGTAACGCTACAAGGAGAATCTCAGTCTTCGGACAGACATCATGTTTTTTGAGGAGAGACCTACCTAATCTGGGTGAAGAAGTGTCGGCGTCTTTGGTAAAAGCCGTTGGATGTCTTGTTGGAGGAAAACGAGCCTAGCTCAGTGAAGACCAGGCTTAGTTTCTGGGGACGGCTGTGAATGATGGTATGGCAGGAGATAACGGTTTGTCGACGAGATGATCTAAAGGATTGAAGAGCATGCAGAAGAGGTGGAGGAGCCATCATGGACGGTACTTCAGATGTCAAAGTCAAAAAGCAGTGGAGGCGGGACAAGGACGAAAGAGACGGCAGCATCATCGATTCTGATGATGTGCTCACCCTCCTCCCCAACGCCCTGGAAAAAGTCCTTGGGTGGAGGTACAGCAGAGAGGGAATGGTGAACCCAAGGATCAAGGGATTGTAAAAGGGGGATCCCAATAAAGGGGGGAGGGACAAGAGGTGTTGAAAACGAAACAGGGGTAAAGTCAATGCCGGGACAAAAGGAAAACCCCATTTTGTTGAATTCAAGTGTTTTTACATAAATATTAACGGTTGAAGAGCTGAGAGGAAGCTTAAGTGGTTTAATGAGTATTTGTGCGACTTGGTGGGATTGGTATTCTAACAGAACATAATATTAGGCCTGTTATGAGTTGGATAAGAGTGGTTATAATGAACATTGCGACACGTTGAATAGGTGGGGCTGCCATTTTGGGTAAAGGAAACTAGCCCGTTTAATATAAGGCGAAGTGAAGGGGGAAGTGGGAGGTTAATTAGAGTGGATGGAACCTGGGTAGGGTTCCCAATAAGTTTTTAGTAATGTATATAGGCCCGGCGAGGGTGACGTGAGTATTAAAACTAAATTTGTTCAGGACGTACTGGTCTATTTTTACGTGGTTTACCGAATGTTGCAATTAATAGGTCGAGATTTGGAATTGTGTGATACTTCGTAAAGATGTGGAGCCAAGAGGTGCTGGGTGTTGTTTGGTATATTGGGGGGATATATTGACCGGGTGGGGTTAAAGGATGTTGTGTGGGGGGAGGGATGGTAGAGCATACCTTCATTAAAACCGAGTTATGCGGCCGAGGTTGGACCGATGTAACGTGCCTTGGGTGCGGTTAACTGTGCGAGGTGGAATGTGATAGATGTGGGTTTTTTCGGATCATAGAGGATTTTAATAGATGTGGATATCGAGGTGTGCCTCGGAGGGTCCATCAATTTTGGAAATTGAAAGTAAATGTTATTAAAGGAAGAGGATAGTCTTTGTCTTTGACATATGTGGGATCGTTTAGGGTAAAAGCACCAGGGAGTGCCATGTTAATAGGTGGGAAAAGATAGCTAAAAAACGTATTAATACTATTATATTAATCGAGGGACGAGATTATAATCCGTTTACAATATCGGTTTTCAAAAATATTTAGCGGGGCAGTTGCGCGAAATGTTAGCACAAAAATAATGCAAATTAACCATTATTGAAATTGAAGATTGAAGGAAAATTCTCCGAAATTTTACACGAAAATGAGAGGTTTGATGGGGAAAGGCTACGGCGAATTGAGGAGTTTGTGGGAGATCGGCCGTCGCGTTTGTTGCGCGTCAACACAGCGTCGCAAGGCATGGAGTTAATGGGGTTGAATGTTTCAGTCGGTATGCAAGGGTACAAGTGGATCAGTGTTAGACGACGACTGAGGGTATGAGTGGGTATATTGATGCATGGTAATTTTTGAAAACGCAAAGTGTGGGTAATAAGCGAATAGCATTACATCAATTGGAAGGTTTGTGCAGTGTGAAGTTGACAGAGCATGATCGATTCGTTTGGAAGGGCCGATAAACGGAGTGTGAGACATGGGAAGCTTATACACGGGGCGCAATCGGTAAAGGCATCAGGAATGAATGGGTTTGCTCCAGTGACATTTATCTTCAAAGGAGCGTTTTAAAAGGTTTTTGGTAAGATATCAATCTTCCTTAAGCGCGAATCGGGTTTTAGGGGCACAGCAACGGGTTGGCTTGGTCGTTCTGAGTGCCTAAAGTGATCATTAACAACAAAGACGATCGTGGTATTTCGTTATTGTGTGGTGATCTAAGATTTTTGCAAGAATTTTAGTCTAACAATAAAAAAGGCCCAGGGTAAAGAGATAGATCAGGGCAATAAGGGTCCGGGAGATCTATGTATGACGGCATGGTTGATTAGAAATGTATTGAAAAGAAAGTAAAAATTGGGGCGTGGGGGGGGGGTGTTGGCTATAATTTGGGAGCGGGCATATGATAGTGTATAAAGTGAAGCGTTATTGGAAGATTTAATGGCAGGTTTGAGAGAGAAATTATATCACTGGGCCAAATTAAGTGAATCAAATGCATCCTTGCGGGTGCAGGTAATGGAAGTTTAGGAGAACAAATTTCAGATGAGAAGGGGTCTAGTCAAGGTGTCCCCCTTTCACAATACTTTTTGCGTGTTACAGGATCCCTTTTAGAGAGAATTAGGGTCTTATTTGGCAGCAAATGGGGTTGGTGACGAAGGGGGTGGGGGCTGCATTGTTTGAAACTGTGATGACAACGATTTTAGGTAATGGTAACAGGGAAATATAGCCTCGGGTGGAAAGTTAGTAAAAGTTTTGTAAAGGCTTCTTGGCATGTCAATTAATAAGGAGAAAACGAAGTATATGGATCTTGGGGATGGGTTAATTAAGTGAAGGAATGTGAAGTAGTTGAAAGGTGGAAAAAGTGGACCAATTACTGGATAGTGGGATCGTTTAATAAAGTTATATCCAAGTAGCACCACAAATAAATTCAGTGCGTATTGTAGAAGGTGTATTGAAGTGGGCGCTTAGTGGTTTACCGAGCTGCACCCTTAACTTTGGCATCAAGAGAGCTTACACAACGAATGGCCTATTATATAGTAAACTTTTGCTTAGCAGCACTATATCCTGATACTTCGTAGCGAATACAAAGTTACAAACGCGCGTTTTTAGATTCAATTTGGGTACTGGAAGCGAATAGTTAGGTAGAGCGGTTGTCACACTCCCGGTTGGCCTAGGAGGGCAGGGTCTTAAGCTGTTGAAAATGATGATGAAGAGTGTGTATTTGAAACGAGTTATAAGTGGGAGGGGGGGGGGGGGGCGAGGGAAGGCGGACTTCTTAAGATACTCAGGATATGCAACTGTGTGGGTGGGTAGGAGTTCATAATAGGTGAGGCAATGTTACGGGTCATCATAAACATGAGCGCTCCTTCCATATCAAATGTGAAACCAGAAGTGGTGATGGTAAGGCAGTGGTTAGCAGTGTAGAAGTGTTTTACCGATGAAAGAATGGCGTAATATCAGGGGCGTTGAACAAATTGTCGTTTAAAACAAAGTACGAGAAGTTAATGTATAGATTTTTACATGGGATCTTACCGATCTGGAATGTTTTTATTCCATAAAGATACGGGAGAGGGATATGCAAGGCTTTGTGGTGATTGGAGACTGCTTCCTCCATATGGTGATTTTGCGAATGTATTGAACTAATACGGGTTTGGTTGGGTTAAGGAAATAAGGTTAGTGGGGGGGGGGGTTGCAGGTGTTGAGGGTTTTTAAAGCTTCGACAAAGTGGTGTGAAATCAAATGGTAGAGATGCGGTAGGGTATATAATACGGATTATATTTACATTAGTCTTGGCTATGAGAGGAGCGAACGTGTGTGAAAGAATTAATGCGTTAACAGCAACTTTTATAGGGCAAAGTGTAGCATAAGGAGGTGGAATGGGTAGTGGAGAGGATTTAAGAGAGGGTATAGGATTTCACATTAACGTGATTTACGGGGGAGTTGAAAGTCAGGTAAGGGGGATGAAATGGCTGGTTTCCTAGAATGGGCGGTAGCTAGATGAGTTTGTTTATGATGTTATATGAGGTATGTCCGGGGTGCAATTTTAACATTATATGTTTGCTGAGTTTTTTTCAAGTACAATACAGTTATATTTGGAATGTCGACTTATCAACAGTGTATGTATTATGTATGTATGTGTGTAAATATAGTTTTGGAGTGGTTGGTGCATTAATTAATAAATGTATGGAAGAGGGGTCAGGTACCTAGGATTGGCAATGAGCAATGCCATAGTTCCTTTGTATAGAAGGCAAGAAGGGGATCAAAGAGAGTGCAAAAATTATAGGGGGATAAGTCTGTTGATTAATACCTGGCGAATAAAAAGTGGTATTGTAGAGTTATTATTGAAAGAATTAAGAGTAAGACGGATAATAGGATAGCAGATGAACAAGAGGCATTTAGAAAGGTAGGGGTGTGTGGACCAGGTGTTTACAGTGAAACCATATAAGTAACCCGTATAATTAGATAAGGTCTAAAGAGGTCATTGTGCATTATGATTTGGACAGGCGTATGACAGGGTGATAGGGGGCAAAGTGCCGATGTAGCAGGTGTATGTGTAGGAGGTAGGTTACTGAAAAGCAGTGAAGAAGTTTTTTAAACGAGGATAATGGGGAAAAAGGCTCAAAGTTATAGTATGTAGGAAAGAGGGAAATTATTTCCCAGTAAAGTAGCCACAGAGACAAGGATGGTGTGATGGTTCACCTGGTTGTTTAATAATTTATAGATGGGGTTGTAAGAGAATACATGCGAGGGTCTTGTCAGAGGCCGTGAGTTTAAAAGAAAAAAGAATCACACACATAAGTGGGAGTTGTCACAGTTGCTCTTGCTGATGACACTAGTGCTCCTTGGGAGATTCTGAAGAGAAGTTGCAGAGCATGGTGGAATGAATTTGGTAGGGTGTGCAAAAGAAGAAAATAGACAGTGAATACAGGAAAGAGGAATGGTTATTAGGATACAAAAAGATTAGGTGATGAAAGAATTGTATATCAGATTGGAGGAGAGAGTATGAGAGGTGAATGTATTCAGATAATTGGGAGTGCCGTGACACGATGGGTCTATGAAAGATGAGGTGAATTCAATAGAATTGATGACGCTTGGAAAAGGGTGAGTGTGCACCTAGAGTCTGTGGAACAAAGAACTTTGTCCTTGAGGCAAAGAGGGGAATGTATAGAGTAAGTTTTACCAACGCCTTATATGGGTGTGAAGGCATGGGTGATGACTGTGCAGCGAGAGAAGGCTGGAGGCAGTGGAGATGTCATGTCTGAGAGCAATGTGTGGTGTGAATATAAGCGAGCATCGTAGTTTTGAAGTTAGGAGGAGTGTGGATTACCAAACTGTATGTCCAGAGGCTGAGGAAGGGTTGTTTGAGTGGTTCGGACATGTATAGGAGA